TGACTCACAGAGCCCCGACTCACAGACGGGGCGCCTACCCGAGCGTCTGCTCCCGGAACGGCGGCCTCAGGGGTGGCGTCGCCTCCGTGGTGGGCATCTCCTTGAAGTGCCAGCCACTCCTCTGGGGACTGTGGGCACAGCCGGTGGCACTGCCGTCCGTATCAGCGTCACCTTACTGCACAAAAGGCAAGAAGGTCTCAGCGTGCGGTTGGGGAGGGTGGGTCGGGGGGTCTCCCTGGGTGACAGCTGCCGTCTGCCCCCGCGTGGGCTCTCAGCCCGTCCTCCTCAGAGACAGGAACGGGGACCATCCGATCCACAACTGTGGTCACTAAACACACACAAGCTCTGGGGTGCAGACTCCTGTCCACAGGGGCCGAAGCCTCAGTCAGAGAGGTGAAGCTGTGACGCGGATCCGGCTCAGGCCCACACCCCGGCCCACTGCGGGGCGTCTCCCGCCAGCTCCCGCTCACAGGTCTGCAGGCACCAGGCCAGCGGGCGCGTGCTGGAGCAGACTGGACCTCCTCACGCTCACCCGAGCACCCATGGGACCGACCAGCCCACCCATGCGGCCGCCGCGTGCCACACGCGCTCCGCGGGAAACGTGGCAGGTCTGGCTTGAGAGGTGCCGTGAGGGGACCTCACACACAGGACGCCCGCGGCTCCTCTCTCCTGGGCGGCCCTTACACCCCTCCCCCACCGGCCTCTGCCTGGCCGCTGAGGAAGCGCCAGAGCGGGCGGGGGAGGATCTGTCCCTATACCTCGGTTACTGTGACGTGAGGTACCCAAAGCTATTCTGCAAGGACGGGACGGCACGTCCTATGGGTCTCTGAAAGCGCTGGCCAGACCCCCACCCCAGCTCTCCCGGGGGCAGAGCCTCTGCAGACGCTGATGTCAGCAGCCCCTTTGATGACACGGGCTTCGGAAAGGCTGTCACAATGGCGCACCTGCCAGCGGGGGCCGCTCACGGTTGCCAGACAACGGGCCCCAGTCCCGTGTGAAATGTTAAAGGGCATGAAGGGCATTTCTACTGCTCCTGTGCTGTCCCCTCTGCCGTGCCCCTGCCCCTCCCCCCTCCCTGGTGACCCATCCTTGCCCACCGGGAGAAATCCTGCGTGTGGGGTGTGGGGAGAAATCCTGCGTGCGGGGTGTGGGGAGAAATCCTGCGTGCGGGGTGTTTATGCAGAGGGTGGAGGGCAGAGGGCGCAGGGCGCGGGCAGGGGCCTCTCTCCCCTCATCCTCCAGGAGGCCGGCTCCGCCCCGCAGAGCGAACCCCCTCATACACCCTTTAGACTGTTCTAAGCACTCACCTCTCTGATCAGAAAAATAACACGTTTCGTGTGGGGACGCATCAGATGCGTGAACCGGGACCCCGTGTCTTCCCCCCATCTCAAGACACCACCTTGACCCGGGCCGAACCCCGACGTGCACCTTCAACGCTGCCCCCTCCTCCCTTTGAAAGGAAGTTCGCTGTTATCACTGAGAAGGTGACATCCGCAGGGCACCTGCTTCCCCTGCGGCGGCCATGACAGGCTCCCACGCCCGGGGGCCCCATGTGCCGTCGCCCCTGTGTGTCTGTCTTCGCCGGGCGGCCCGCTCCCCGCCACCAGGAAGGTGTGTGTGGCGGGCGTCCAGAGCATCTGCTCCAAAGGCCTGTGGTTCTGGACGACCCCTGGGACGTGGGGCTGCCTGTCCCCCGAGGTGGAGCAGTCGCAGAGCGAGGGCCACGGCAGGGACCCGCTGACCGGATGCCGGGCCGTGAGGGACCTGGACGGCGTCTGCGTCTCACAGCAGCCAAGGCCGGCGCAGCACGCACGGGCCACCCACGGGCCACGGAGTGGGGCGCTTCAGCGGGGACGGGAGCCCCGCCCTGGCTTCCAGCAGACTCCGACGCCCCCAGAGCTGAGCGCCCCAGAGCCGCCTCGGTTTGCGCCACGCGCCAGGCGCCGCCCTCCGCCACGTCGCCTGAGGCTGTGCCTCCTGGCCGGACCCATCTCGGCTGGGCGTCAGCTCCCTGGGAGCAGAGCGAGGCCTCTGCCCCGCGTGCTGCATGCGGAGGGGACCCGCCTCAGACCCCAGGCATTCGCAGGGCACCGGCGACACGCAGGGCTTCCTGCAGGGGTGAGGCTCCGGAGGTCGGGGCGCGCACCCG